GCAAAGCCCTAACATCCTCAGGTGAACGAATTCCTCGCAACAAGTTCACATCTACTTCATCTAAAATCTGTTGTCTTGAGATGGTCCGATTCTCTGACAGATCACTCATACTGAATCATTGTCATTCAGTCCAGCCCGTTTATCCCTCAACAGGCTACTCATTCTGATAGTTCGAGGTTCCCACTATAAAACAGGGTCACAGACCCAATTATCCTTGCAGACCACTTATACTTGGTCAAAGCTCAATACTCCTGCTGTGAGTGACTTGTCACTCCCCAAATCATCTAGCTATTTCGTCCGTACTCGCAACCTGAAGCACAAATGCTAACACTGCCCAATCGCTGAAACTGCTCGAACCTTGAACTGCCTGAAGCAGTATGCTGCTACATAGATGCTTCCCGAAATCCACCGAGACCTCTCCGGTCTCAATTCATCTGTCAGTCGTCTGATATACCGGGTTCCAGCCCGGTCACTGAGCAAAAGGGCTCCCACATAGTCGTCTCACACGACTCTTGAACGAAATTCCTTCTCTGGAACTAGTTGCCACTAGTTATCATGCCGCTGTGGCTCTAACTACCTCCCGATCCAACCGATCGGGTCCCTACGTCGAATCCTGACGTCACCAAATACAGGCTAAAAGTGATTGCTACATAACCGATGGTAGCCTTATATCACAAGCAATCTTATACAGTCCATTGCTTCCCTGATCCCACAACTGTAGTGGCACTCCTACAGTCGTATCACTGACTCAACCAGATCTAATCTGTCTAGGAAATTCTGAAATCCAATCCGTGGATTTCCATATCCTTACTGCTACACCCGAACTGGTGGGTACCACCGTTCCTTCCGTGTTCCAACAACACGTTCATGCCACCTACCCGTCTAGTGAGGCTATGGCTACACTCGCAGCCTCATGACACTCTATCACTATTTGCCAACCCTTGTGAATGCTACGGCTACCCCCGCAGCCTTACAACACGTCCCACACTACCTGATCGCTAGTGAATGCTACGGCTACCCCCCGTAGTCTTACAACACTTTCCATGCTGTCTGACCACTAGTGAATGCTACGGCTACCCCCGTAGTCTTACAACACTTCCCGTCTGGGTCGAATACGCACTCGAACTAACACTCAACTGAACTTAAGCCCCAACTGGAACTCTAACCTGGTTCCCAAAACCTGCTATTTGTCGCCAAGGCAAAGCGTGAACCAATGTTGGAACGTCTACTGAACTCCCAACTCACCCAATCCTCGACCGAGACGGCCACTCGACCGCCTTTTCCCCGACGGGGATGCGAAACTCATCCAAGTTTCACACCTTTTTCTGTCGTGGATACCTGATCGATACTCCCCCACTTAGCTTCGGCTAATTCTTCACAGCATGTGAGAGTTTAAGGGTTCCCAATCCTTCTTACTTTCTAATAGTCCACTGTCAACAATCTGAGCGTACTAATGCTACAATCAATTACCAACCAAACCTCAAGATTGCCCATTCTCTGATATCCTGAAGAGTACTCCTGAATTCTGGTCCAGTCTGACACCCCAATCCACCTATCATGCTGACCATTAGAGACCTTAATTCTTACTCTGGCTGATGAATCCTCGTCCCCACTTCCAATCTTGCAGCACCACTGAATTCTAACTTCACTGGAGAACTATCGCTCTAATCCTGACCCAATATTCCCTGAATAACCTTCCTGCACAGATCCCGACAAAGATCCGGGATGAGAATGGTACACGCGGAATCCACTCCGCAAGATACATCCCTCTGTAGGTTCATCAAGGACTTCTCGGCATGCAGTATGGCATATAACAATCCTTGATAACCCCAGGCAATAGCGGAGAACCGACCCGGGATCTGACTTATCCCATCCCACTGATAACTCTGAAGCGATACATATTCCCAATATCCACTTTGAAGTGGCAGCAGATGACATACCTACGAACATTTGTCGAAATCCTGATCCTGATGACAGGAACCAACTATAGAATCTTCATTCCCGAAGAATTCTAAGAATCCACAGACCTTGGGTTTCAAATGAACCCCTAACTTCCCCGCGACAAATCTAGCCCAAAGGCCCGAGACGAATACCAAGAGCTTCCAAATTCCTTCCTTGGCTGAACGGAATACCACCGTGGTCCATTTCCATAACTCTGCAAGTAATCTCCGATGAGATGAACTCTTGCGATCGCGCATTGACTGGCCCAGGCCCTGATCCTGAGCTGGAACCAGAATCCGACTCTCACTCTTGGGTGCTTAACACCATACTGAACTGACATTCCAAGGGTTCGGATATACCCAAGAGTCCTTACCACCTTATGTTGGCATAACCAACCCCGCTACCTTGTAGCAGCCTAACCCTTGGAGCGACGAACTCCCCTTATGTACTTTCCCGTACATGCTGCACTGACTCCGGCCCTGCTGGCCTTTCATCCGATGATCAGAAGTCATGGGTCTTTTCCCGGGACCCTCTACTATACGCACCTGGCATAACCCTCTCTTCCCAAGGCGCTCCAAACCAATGTCGCATTTACAACCCTTGGAAGTCATATCCTTCAGGGTCCGACACCCTGTCATGCTCACCAGCTCACTTGCCAATGGCGAAGCTGCAACAACTGAAACATCCTCTGCCCCCAAACCGGGCCGCAACCTCTTCCCCTGAAGCTTCTCAGATTCTCCATGACTCTCACTGATTCGAGTATGGATCTTGTGCTTTCAGTAGTACGGGCCCAATACTACCTTCCACACCTATCCATACTTTCCTCAGCAATCCTCCCGGATCCTCCAAGTCACTTCCTCAACTGGTACCCCCAAGTCTCACTGAGCCTCACTACTAACCCACTGAATCATATCCTAGGCTTCCCTAGGTTCCCGAACTCACCCAGTCCTCAGCTGCTAAAGGACTTCCCACTAATGTCAACTAGCTACCTCATGAATATAGCCATTTGCGACTTAGCATATTCACTTAGTAACTAGCTCACATTACTAAGAGTCCCTTAAAGCACAAAGCAAGCATCATTCAGACAATGGAAAATCTAACCAACATATTCCAATCAGATCAATCTTTCCTCTTGTCAGGGATCTATACTAGCATGCGATTCTAAGGCTCACATAGTTAGGCATAACCTAAACAGGCTATCCTATCACTAACTGATCATTACTATCATGCAGCTCAACAAGCACATACAGCAGGCATATAAGGCATCTTCCTAGATCTTTAGCCCTAATCTAGCATGCAGTTCTCATACACACACAACAGGCATATAAGGCATCCTCCCTAGATCCTTAGCCTAATCTAGCATGCAGTTCTCACAATCATATCATATCATAACATAACATGTATGGGTATCTTGGGGAAAACTTGATGGGTTTTGAGCATTCTAACACTTCCTAAGTGTACATGCAACCCTAATAACCTTGAATCTATGTTTTCTCTATATACATGCAAATTTCTTTTTCAAGGTTATTTCCTAACTAGCATGGCATGGGGATTACATAGAACATAAAACTAGTAGAAATACATACCTTGTTGTTGCTTGGATTCCTTCAAGACTTTGTGAGCCTAGCACCCCAAATGTTGTGCCTCAAATGCTTCACACAACACCACAAGACTTGGAATAACTTGAGAGAATGTCACTTAGCCTCAAAATCGGTTATGCCCTCTCTAGTAACACTAGGTCCACTCGGTCACCATTTTGCTAGCCGTAGGGTTCCTTTTATAGTGTTGTCACAATTAGGGTTTACACATGAATGCCCTTAATTGTCATGACTCTTGATTTCTCATGACCCATGGGTTTGTAACTCCCATGGACTATCCATGGAGCTCCATATGGTTATAACCAAACCCATAAACCATGGATCATTAATCCACCATAAAAGAATTGATGATTGTCATAATCAACCCTATATATTTAATTAGTCTCACTTTGATCACCAAATTAATACTAGATTAATACTTGATCAATACTAATTAAATAATACTATTATTAATATATTAGAACTTATAATATATTAATAATCATAAGTGCCTTATTCTCTCATTTAGTCTATCCAAGTATTGCAATGCCATGCAACCCAAATGGACCATGCCGGGTCGGGTCAAGTACATACCAAATAAAGTTATGGACTTAGACACTATATCCAACAGTCTCCCACTTGGATAAGTCTAATAACTATATTTGCAAATATGACTTCAAAATCCGACTAGCAATCGTAGCTCTTTCAAAGTCTCTCGGAACTGAGATGATGATGATACGCCATTTAAGATAAGTGATCATATAATCCTCTGTTCTCATGATATCAGCCGGACAAACACATGGAACATGGTCTTACTTATTGTCCAGCATTTGTTTCTCGATCTCTGATTTGTTTCGACATAGAACTAAATTGAACACATCAATTAGGTTCTGACCGGGCCCGGTACATAGGTCAAAACCAAATCATCGAGGGGCCCAGATATCGCTTCTATTTCTAGAAGGAACAGATAAACTTCGACTGATATGCTTGTACTAACTACTTGTTGAATTATTCACAAAGGCACGTTTTATGACATCGAGTTACCAATGCGTTTTCGTGCAATCAATGAATAACCAACTCATAGTCAACAACTCATATCTCTAGGTTTGAAGATTTATATGATATTACCGTCTCACGATCACTCGAGATAAATTCCATGAAGTGATGCAAGTGAGCGTGGGTTGGATCCAATACTCAGCCCTTATGAGTACTCATGAATGTTGTAGCAACCATTGCATTGTCCAAAGCACTTTTAGACAAATCATACAAGCCAAATTCATGACAGTCTTAAATCAATACTTACTTCCAAAGTTTGACTGACTGTGGATGGTTTGAATAATAACATAATTATTCTGGAAGTAAAAACATGCAAAATTGAAACATAGTAAACAATCAACACAAGATAGTAACACCTTACTCATAAATAAATAACAACTTTTATTTATCATCAAATGTCAATTACATTTTACAAGTTTCAGGAATCTAATTATTGAAACTAATATCATCCCTCAGCCCAATGCGCCTCGCATGCTGTAAATGCTTAACCCTGCTCAGTCCCTTCGTGAGGGGATCTGTCGGGTTCTCATTTGATGATACCCTCTTAGCCACGAGGAGTCCTTCTTCTATTCGATGTCTGATGAAATGGTATTTTCTGTCAATGTGCCTAGATCTCCCGTGATCTCTTGGTTCCTTAGCCAAAGCAACCGCACTTTCATTGTCACAAAAAATTTCCATTGGCTCCTTTATAGCTGGTACAACTCCAAGGTCTCCGATGAAGTTCTTTAGCCATATCGCCTCCTTAGCTGCTTCACTTGCTGCTATGTACTCTGATTCACAAGTAGAATCAGCTACTGTCTCCTGCTTGGAACTTTTCCAAGTAATTGCCCCTCCATTTAGGATAAAGACCCAGCCTGACTGAGAGCGGAAATTATCCCTATCAGTCTGGAAGCTAGCATCGCTATATCCTTCCACTCTCAAGTCATCACTGCCTCCGAGGGTAAGGACCCAATCCTTAGTCCTCCGCAGATACTTGAGAATGTTCTTTACCGCTGTCCAGTGTGCCTTGCCAGGGTTCCCTTGATATCTACTGACCATGCTCAAAGCAAAGGCCACATCAGGGCGAGTACAAGTCATAGCATACATGATCGAGCCCACAGCGGAAGCATATGGTATATGACTCATTTCAGCTATCTCAGCCTCTGTACTCGGACTCTGAGTCTTACTCAGCTTGGCATTACTCTGGATTGGTAATTCTCCTTTCTTGGAATCTTGCATACTGAACCTCTTCAGTACCTTATCCACATAAGTACTTTGACTAAGTCCAATTAGTCTCTTACTCCTATCTCTCAATATCCTTATCCCTAGGATATAGGCAGCTTCTCCAAGGTCCTTCATAGCGAAACACTTCCCAAGCCAGGACTTAACCTCCTGCAAGGTTGGGACGTCGTTTCCTATGAGAAGTATGTCATCCACATACAACACCAAGAAGCTAACTATGCTCCCACTAGCCCTGACATACACACAAGACTCATCCTCACTCCTAGAAAAGCCAAACTCTTTGACTTTCTCATCAAAGCAAAGATTCCATCTGCGAGATGCTTGTTTCAATCCATAAATGGATTTATCAAGCTTACACACTCTATTAGGGTATCTTGTATCGACAAAACCCTCTGGTTGAGCCATGTAAACATCCTCAGCCAACTTTCCATTAAGGAAAGCGGTTTTGACATCCATTTGCCATATTTCATAATCATGAAATGCAGCTATGGCTAACAATACTCTAATAGACTTAATCTTAGCTACTGGTGAGAAGGTCTCATCATAGTCAACTCCCGGAGTTTGAGTAAAGCCCTTCGCAACCAGTCGCGCTTTATAAGTGTGTACCTTCCCATCCATGTCGGTCTTCTTCTTGAAGATCCATTTGCACCCAACTGTCTTACGACCTGGTACATTGTCAACCAAGTTCCAAACTTGATTGTCATACATGGACTGAATCTCACTGTCCATAGCCTCCTTCCATTTAGCAGACTCAGGGCCTGCCATGGCTTCCCTGTAGTTATTAGGTTCATCCAAATCTATTAGTGTACTATCACTAATAAATGTATCACCTTCAGTGGTGATGTGATAACCATAATAAAAATCAGGTGTGTTCCTCACCCTAGTGGAACGTCTTGGAGGTACAGACTCATCTATCGGATCAACAGGAGGTTGGTCGATAGCATTTGAGGTTCCTTCACCACTTGACTCTTGAAGCTCTTCAAGGTCAATTTGCCTCCCACTGTCCCCTTGGCTTATGAATTCTCTCTCACGAAAGACTCCTCTTCTTGCTACAAAAACCACATTATCACTGGGTCTGTAGAAGAGGTAACCAAAGGATCTCTGTGGGTAGCCGATGAAAATACACCTCTCACTTCGAGGTTCAAGCTTATCATGAGTCTCACGCCTCACGAAAGCTTCACAACCCCAAATCTTGATGTGGTCCAAATTGGGAACTTTCCCAGTCCACATCTCGTGAGGTGTTTTGGCAACCTTTTTAGTAGGGACTAGATTAAGGATATGGGCGGCAGTCTCTAAGGCATACCCCCAGAAAGAGATTGGTAACGAAGCTCGACTCATCATGGAACGAACCATATCCAACAAGGTTCGATTGCGCCTCTCAGCTACACCATTCAACTGTGGTGTTCTGGGAGGTGTCAATTGTGAGACAATCCCACATTCCTTAAGATAGTCAAGGAACTCAATGCTAAGATACTCTCCTCCTCGATCGGATCGGAGCATCTTGATGTTCCTGCCCAATTGATTCTCCACTTCCTGCTTAAACTCTTTGAACTTTTCAAAGGTTTCTGACTTATGCTTGATTAAGTAAATATATCCATATCTACTGTAATCATCAGTAAAAGTCACATAATAGCGATTAGCATCCCTTGTAGCAACTCTGAAGGGCCCACACACATCCGTGTGTACAAGGTCCAACAAACCTTCACCCCTATCACAAGTACCTGTGAAGGGTGACTTTGTCATTTTTCCAAGTAAACAAGACTCGCAACTATCATCTGACTTGAGGTCAAATGATTCCAAGACTCCAGCCTTTTGGAGTTGGCCTATGCGCTTCTTGTTAACATGTCCAGACGACAATGCCACAAGGATGCTTTATCCAAGCTATCTGAAGAATCAATATACAACACATTATTTCCTAGATTGTCTACAACATTCACGGCTTCATATACACCATCACAAGGTAATGCTTTAAAGTAAAATACATCATTGTAATAAACATTAATAGCACCATTTTTATTATCAAATGAAAATGAAAAGCCTTGTTTGTACAAGCCATGAAAAGAAATAATATTTCTCGCCATTTCGGGCGAGTAACAACACTTATTCAAATCTAACATTAACCCATTATTAATCAATAAAGAATAAACTCCTATCTTGGTAACAGGTGATGCTTTCCTGCTGCCCATGACTAAGTTTATCTTCTCGTGCTCCACTTGCTCACTTCTTCTTAGTGCCTGCAAATCAGTACAAATGTGAATACCACACCCTGTATCAAGCACCCAAGAATTAGCATTAGATGAGTTGTTAGACAATATTGTGTAAATACCTGCATGGGTGGGTTTAACCTTCCCATCCTTTAGATCTTGCAGATATTTGGGGCAGCTTCGCTTGAAGTGTCCCTTATCCTGGCAATAGAAGCACTGTGCTTCCTTTGGGTTTGAAGAAGGAGTAATGGGACCTTTCTTTGTCCCACTTGAAGAGGAACCATCAAGAGTCTTACCCTTGGTACCCTTTGAAGGGCTTTTCCTCTTCTTACCCTTTCCCTGCCCAATAGCAAGAACATGGGATGTTGAAGGAGTAGAAGTAGCAACCGCTTTACCCTTAAGGCCATTTTCAGTTGTCCTTAAGAGTCCTTGAAGTTTGCTAAGTGTGACTTCCTCCTTGTTCATATGATAAGTCATACGAAACTGATCATAACTTGGAGGTAAGGAATGGAGAATGATGTCAATCGCCATTTCCTCAGGAAAGTCAACATTTAGCTTCAGCAACCGGTCAACGAACCTTTGCATCTTCTGCAAGTGACCGGTGATGGGTTCACCATCCTTCATCCTTGCGGTTATCATGGAGGAGATGATTTCATACCTCTCCTGACGCGCGCTCTGATGGTACCTTTCCATCAGATCCAGGTGCATCTCATAGGGGTAGAAATCTTCATAGGATTTTTGAAGTTCAGGAGTCATGGTGGCCATCATGATGCATGCTACTTTAGTAGCATCCTTTTCATGTGCAACAAACTCCGCAAACTCTTCAGGAGTAGCAGTGGCTTCACTCACAACCTTAAGCTCCCTATCGAGGACATATTCTTTGTCCTCATAGCGGGTAATCATTCTGATGTTTCTGATCCACTCATTGAAATTGGATCCATCAAAGATGACCTTACCACACAAGTTCATAAGGGAAAAGGAGCCTGTTGGGTTTGAGCCAGAAGCATTGTTGGAAGACATCTGAAAGGAAAGAAAGACAAGTTTCATTAGATTAGGAATCCTTAATAATTCACCCAAATGAAATATTAAGGCTAGGATCCAACAAACTATTTATAGTTGGAAGAGGGATGCCGTAATCCATACTATAAAATATTTGAAGGTAGGTAAATGACGATTTACCAATTTCCACCATAAGAACGAAATATTTTGTTATTAGGTTTTATTGGTTTTGAAACTCCTAGATCTTTTGAGATACATTGAACTTTTCAATGGCATGTTTGAATCTCGATTGTGCCCTCTCAAGTTTGTGACTGGGATGCCGAGGATCACAAACAAGGTGTGAATAACCATACAAATTGACTTGGTACCCTCAACAATATTACCTAATCGATGTGCCGGTTAACCACACACGCTCCACTGATCTATAATAGAGTCAAGTTACCCTTTGCCACTCTTACTAGTCCATGTTAGTGTGCCGGTTAACCACACACGCTCCACTAAAGACTTGGTAAGGTACAAAGTGTATTTTTATGGGCTAGCACCAATTTCACATTTTCCTAAAGTAACTAAGATTGGGAATTTATAATGTATAGTTACTTTATAATTCATTATACTTTTAACGAGTATTTAAAGTCGTATCCTACCCGTTCGGCTAACGACCCTCCACCGATCAAGGAAGCGGTGGGTGAGAGTGGACACCCATTAAGTCACCATTTTATAGGCAACAACCTTATACCCCCCTTATAGACCGGCTTCGTGAATGAGGCCTACTAACGGTAAGAATGACATATTCTTATACATATCTATATAATAAAATTATAATAATAGTATAAGTGTTGATTTTTAAACTTTTTAAAAATCTAAGGTTTAATTTGGAATTAAAGTATTAAAGTGTAAGACTTTTCAAATTCCAAAACTTGAGGGCAAGATTTGAAACTATTCCAAGTCTCTTCAATTTGTAACTTATGAGTTTTAATGGTTCATAAAAATGAAGACTCTTCATTTTATGAAACCTCTTTAGTTCTTTAATCATAATTAAAAGAAGTGACTTTTGGTTATCCATAACTTGAGGACAAGTTATGGACACCATCATAGCCATTAAGATCATGAATTAAACATACATGGAGGTTACATATAATTCCTATGATCTTCTAAAAACTCATAAGAACACAAATTCATGTCAAGCAATTTCAAGAAATCATATAAACATATACAATACTTGAAAATTGATAAAAGTCACGTAAAATGGGTTAACATAATCATTATCATTTTGAAAAACAGATTTTACAAGTCCAAAACAGATTGGGATAATGATCTTAATCCATTTCCAGCAACAAAACTCGAAAAACTGCCCAGCACGCTCCTACTCGCCGAGTGCATTATTCTACTCGTCGAGTAGGATGAATTTGTTCATGGACTCGGCGAGTCCTCCCCATGGACTCGGCGAGTCCAGTCGTCAGAATGCAGAATTTTCGATTTTTAAGCAGTTTTGCATCAAGTATACAGAAAACAATCCTAGGCTCTGATACCACTGATGGGTTTTTGAGTATTCTAACACTTCCTAAGTGTACATGCAACCCTAATAACCATGAATCTATGTTTTCTCTATATACATGCAAATTTCTTTTTCAAGGTTATTTCCTAACTAGCATGGCATGGGGATTACATAGAACATAAAACTAGTAGAAATACATACCTTGTTGTTGCTTGGATTCCTTCAAGACTTTGTGAGCCTAGCACCCCAAATGTTGTGCCTCAAATGCTTCACACAACACCACAAGACTTGGAATAACTTGAGAGAATGTCACTTAGCCTCAAAATCGGTTATGCCCTCTCTAGTAACACTAGGTCCACTCGGTCACCATTTTGCTAGCCATAGGGTTCCTTTTATAGTGTTGTCACAATTAGGGTTTACACATGAATGCCCTCAATTGTCATGACTCTTGATTTCTCATGACCCATGGGTTTGTAACTCCCATGGACTATCCATGGAGCTCCATATGGTTATAACCAAACCCATAAACCATGGATCATTAATCCACCATAAAAGAATTGATGATTGTCATAATCAACCCTATATATTTAATTAGTCTCACTTTGATCACCAAATTAATACTAGATTAATACTTGATCAATACTAATTAAATAATACTATTATTAATATATTAGAACTTATAATATATTAATAATCATAAGTGCCTTATTCTCTCATTTAGTCTATCCAAGTATTGCAATGCCATGCAACCCAAATGGACCATGCCGGGTCGGGTCAAGTACATACCAAATAAAGTTATGGACTTAGACACTATATCCAACAAAACTTACTTGAGCTCGGCTGATTGCACGCATCACACACCCTGTTCTTTTCAAAGTTCTATTCTCTTTTCAAATTCTTTTCAAACTTCTTTTATAAAATAATTTTACTTTTGAAAATTTTCATACCAAGTCCTTAGTTTGAGTTCAGACACACCCGAGAGTGTGCACAAATCCCTCAAACCAAGGCTTTGATACCAACTTGTAACATCCCAAAATTCAAGGCAAAAAATTTCATTTTAAATAAGTTATTGCATAAAACCGTTCAATATAAAAACATTCATAATAATGCCTCATGTCAAAACCAAAGTATCAATGATCAAAACATAGTATTATAAAACCATATCAGAGTGTAATCCCAAGAATCCAGTGTGCGGAAAACATAGTGTGATGCGCTGCGACCAAGCCGACTCTTTTCCTTTGAAACAATGTACCTGAAACACATAACACATAACACGGTAAGCACGCATGCTTAGTGAGTTCCCCAAAATACTACATACAACACATAAGCCACTCGAGGCTATAGATCTACGAGACCTTCCGGTCAATGTGTCTCAGGGGCCTTCCGGTCCCACAATCTGAGTAGACCTTCCAGTCCTACTCTATCGACCTTCCGGTCCATACCATATTGACCTTCCGGTCCATCCACTGCTGACCTTCCGGTCCATACCCTGTTGACCTTTCGGTCCATACCATACTACTCATACATACATAACATATACATATCACATAAGTCACATAGCTCATACCAATATATAAGACCTTCCGGTCACATATCACATAAGTCACATAGCTCATACAAATATTTAAGACCTTCTGGTCACATATCACATAAAGTCTCATAACTCATTCATACACATAAGACCTTCCGGTCACACCTAGTTACCATTCCAAGTAAGGTATAGTGAGAAGACTCACCTGGCACTGCTGAAGTCCCGCAGACTCAATCCCACACTGCTGAAGTCCTGCAGACTCAACCCCAGCTGCTGGATGACAGATTCCCGATCTGTCAATATCAAAACATCACCCAATTAATAATTGGGTCCCACTACATAACCATAAGTACCTACTTTGGATAATTACTACATTACCCCAGGCTTGGCTTTATTTAAGCCCGAGGCCCAATTCATAGGCCCAAGGTCAATTAGGAATCAAAGCCCAACATATGGCCCAAGCCTATACATGGTTTTATTCTAAGGCCCAACATCATATAATCACTAAGGCCCA